TTTTGATGTATCATCCCTATTTACCAATATTCCCATACATGACTCTCTAGTTGTTCTGCGAGATCACTTGACCAATGAAAACAAGTCTTTGGTTTTGGCAGATCTTGCGGAAAAATGCCTCCTTTCAACATATTTTTCTTTTAGAGGCAATTTCTACAAACAAATATCTGGAACACCAATGGGTTTCTCCCCTTTCCCCTGTCATTGATGACATTTTCATGAAGCCTTTGAGTATTTAGCCCTAGAATCTTACCCCTTAAAACCAAAAGTCTGGTTCCGCTACGTTAATGATACATTTATCATCTGGCCCCATGGTCAACATACCCTTTCTCCCTTCCTAGATCATCTTAACTCACAACATCCGAGTATAAAATTCACAATGGAAGTAGAAAATAATCGGTCCCTTCCCTTTCTCGATGTGTTAGTCACCTCCAAGCCCAATGGCCGATTGGGTCACTCTGTTTATAGAAAAAAGACTCACACGAATCGTTACCTACATGCTTCATCACACCACCATCCTGCCCAAAAGAATTCTGTGATCAACTCTCTCATCCATCGGGCCATTTCGATTTCTGAACCCGACAACCTTAGAGAAGAACTTGGCCATCTGCAAAAAACCCTTGTCGGCCAACGGTTACTCCAAGTCCACAATTCAAAATATTACACACCGACATCTACATCCCCTTTACACCCTAGGACGACAAATTCAGAATCTTCGGGTAATACTCCTGTGGCTTTTCTTCCGTATATTCGAAATGTCACTGATAGGATTGGCAAAATTCTTCGCAAAGAAGGTATCAGGACTACTTTTCGACCACCCAAGAAAATCTCACAATATCTACCCTCTCCTAAGGACCCATTACCGCCCCTATCTTCCTGTGGTGTCTATTCTATTCCTTGTTCATGTGGACATGTGTATATTGGCGAAACTGGTCGTTCCGTCAAAACTCGGATTCAAGAGCATCAAAGATGCATTCGATCAGGTCTTTTCTCCCATTCTGCAGTTGCAGAACACTGCCAAGAAACCGGTCATTCCATATTGTTCGAAAAAACCCATATTATTTCTAAGAGCCCCTTCTTTTATTCCAGGAAAATCCGCGAATCTCTAGAGATCCGAAAAAGTCCACATAACATCAATCGAGAGGAAGGATACTACTTGTCTCCCATCTGGAATCTCAGTCTAGAGCCTCCGTCCGGTCCCGCTACCACGATGCAGCCACATGATTGGCCAGCGCGCGCTTCTTGACGTTCGCGCCACGGAGTGTGCCGATACGTCCCGACACGACAGGTCACCGCGACTATAAATAGAGCGGTAGCGGAGTAATCGTCGGATTCACTCCCCGCCTCTCGACGCGTTAGTGTTCTGAGCTGTTGGACGTGAATCCCTGTCCTGGCATTTGGTTTTCACCTCTGGCTGCGTTGAGTAGTTGAGTTACTGTGACCAAATGACCATCTTGGTAGTTAGTATTCGCCTCTGGTTGCGTTGAGTAACTGAGTTACCGTTGCTAACTACCCATCTTCCTGTCTTTTGATTTCTTTTTCTTTGTTCTCCTGAAGAAGCTACATACAATTGTAGCGAAACGTCGAGATGAACCCACTTTTGGGTCACTCACAAATGACACGGTCCAAACCCGGAAGACGAATAAATTATAATTCGAAAAAATTTTGTAGAGAAAAAAAATGTGGAACTTGAAAAAAAAGGCTTTACAAATTTATATTCAAAACAAAATTCAATCTAACATTTCACAGATTTCACACTGACACCTGTGTCATTGGTGACAAGTTACAAATGAAAATTAGTCACGGCACGCCTGGTGAGAAGCAAACAGCTGAAGTTGAAAAAGAACTTCATTTAAGGAAGGCAAAGGCGGCTAAAGGATCTAAAAAGTAAAAGAAAGTGCAAATTATTAAAGAATGGCAGTCAAGTTGCATATGCTTTGATTTGCAAAAGATGATTGAAATGATGATGATTTGAAACAGTAAATTCTGTTTGTATTTTGAGAACGATTTCCGAATTGGAAATTGAAACGTCAATAAACGTATTTTTTATCTTTAATTGTGGCTTATTCCCAGTTATAAATAGTAATTAATTTACAATGCCACAAGAAAATAGCTTCAGAACAATATTAAGAAACCGTTATGGGCCCAGCGTTATTCAAAATTTTAGGAGATTGGAAATTCTATACAAGAAACTGGCACACTGTCAAAACTCTATTAAGTTTTGTTTTGCAAGATTTCACGCGAAATTCATAGACAACATTTAGATGTTTAGTATGAGCTTATCTATTAAACAATCTTATAACCGGGAGACCGGCCCTGGCAAGGTATGGTTAAGTTGTACTGATATCGTACTCCTAGTTTTTAATAAAAACAAGTGGTTTTATTAAATAGTTTTTTAAAATTAAAGTGTTTATCTACTAGATACTACTACGTAAGTTATCTATACGTAATTATTATTTTATTAGTGTGAAAAGAAAACGTCAATAATAAATATATACTACCGTACAATCATTTTGTGAGGTTAGCTGTTATAAGTACCTTATAGTAGCATGCGGTTAGTTTTTCACTTACCAGAGTCGGAGTAAGGCCTTCGCCGAAATAGCTTAAAATGACTTCACAGAATGTAAACACACCTTCCGATCTAACCAGTCCAGTAAATCAACGTTCGAATATCACAAACAGTTATGCATCAGCCGCTTCACACTCTTTTCCGAGTAAGACCCAAGCAATTGTATTTAGTTGCATCGATAATGCTAAACTGCAGGATTATCTCATTCCTTTGGGCACAATCATCAACCCAAAAAATATTATTTTTTCATCTAGATTATCTCATAATAGAATCTGCATGTATTTGGCAAACAAAACCGTAGTAGATAACTTCATGACACAACATGGCTCTATAGAAGTACTCGGCGAAGTTGTAACAGCACGAAGACTTGTCTCTCCAGCAGAAAGACTAGTCTTGTCTGGAGTCTGCCCGTCAATTCCTCATCAAGTATTAGTTGAAGAATTACAGAATATCGGTTTAAAGCTTATTTCCCCAATATCATTTCTGAAAATTAGCTCGACTCTCCCGAATATAGTCACATATTGAGCTTTCGGAGGCAAGTTTATATAAGCCCTATAACATCACCAATTCCAGATTCTATTCTAATAAATTTCGATCAAACACCTTACCGCATATTTTTGTCACAAGGTACACTTACCTGCTTTATTTGCAAAAATACAGGACACATATCATCCCAATGCAATAACAGTTCAGTAACGGAATCAACTCATATTGAGTCAAACAATGAAGTACCAAATCAAACAGCTTCAACAAGTATACTACACAAGGTACCAAACACCCAGCAGTCATCAAGTTATCCATTATCAAATCCAAGCATATCACCTACATCTACAAATCTCCATGACAAAGAAATTACTAACGCTCCTACTCATAACAACACTTTCAATCAACCTCATTCAGTAGCAATACCGTTTTCACAAACTTCGGAAGCAATATCCTCCAATCTATCAGCTCCTTTTTCATTAGATACAACTGCAGAAAATTCTAATAAAACTGATACATCAAGACAATTTTCTGAAACAACCATTTCAACCAATCTTACAAATAAAACTTCAAGCTCGAGTTCTGTCACTACCAAGGAGTTTGCTCCAGTACTTCCAAATGTAATAAAGCCACAGCATCTAAGTGAAAACTCTAATAACAATTCCGAAAACACAAGTTCTTCCATAAAACGCAGTATTGGTGAGATCGTCACGCCTCCTTCAGACTCAGTAATTTCATCAGAAAATCTGTTTGCAAAACCCAAACCCTCTAAACCAAAAAAACCGCGCTCATATAAAGTCCCATCTACACGGGAAACTCTTGAAAATTTCATTGATAATCATACCCCACCATTCGTTTTAAATTACCACCAATTGTCCTTACTGATTGATAATGTCCAAGGCTCCTCCGACACTATTAGCGTCGTCAAAGAATTTACAACTGATATCGATGGTTTACTCCATCTTTTACAAAGCAGCTATCAATATGCAAATGATAGATCTACAAAAAGCAAGTTTACAAAACTTCAAAAGAAACTATACAACCATTTAGAGAAAGAGATTTCTGACTTAGATAGTGACTCTTCTGTAGACAATTGTTCAGTATCATCTAACTCCGAATCTGTTAACAACATTCAACTCGATACTTCAATGGAACATTGATGGATTTTTTCATCGTCTCCCTATGCTACAGCTTCTTTTATCTAAATATTCTCCAGATATTATTATTTCTTATGAACATGGAAGAAGCGTCCAATTTTTATGGGTTCCCTCAAACGTCGGAATAACAAGAAATGAAGAAGCTGACAGGACTGCACGAGAGGCAATTTTAAGTGATTTGTCAAAGCCGATAGACAAGTGTGTTTTTAGTGACTTAGAAGCTTATTTTAAAAATAAAGTGTGGTGTTTGTGGCAAAATGAGTGGTCTCAAACTAATTCCAATCTAAATAAAATCAAAAATAATGTGTCTCAGTGGTTTCCATCGTCGCTCAATAGACGAGAACAAATTGCGGTTGCGCGTTTACGCCTAGGACATACCAGATTAACGTACTCCTACCTTTTCACAAAGAAAAATCCACCTATATGTGATCAGTGTAACGTCCGATTAACAGTCGAACATTTTCTAACAATTTGTAGTAAATATGACCAAGAAAGACAGCGCTACAAGATCCCAAACGCTCTACTACAGGCTCTAGGTCAAAACTGTTCCTGTAACAATATAGTGAATAATCTTAGATCCATAAACATTTTGTACAATCTGTAGGTGTTTAACTTTGTTTTTTATATTTTGTTCCGTCGCTAATAACCTTTTGGTGGATGCGACATCTTTTTCTAATAAAAAAAAAATCTTATAACCCACATCAAAATAAATAATCTTAAAGTTTACAAACTTAAAATAATCGTTGGTTTATAACTCGACTTAAATATTCTAGATAGCTTTAACATTTTAGGTCATGGCTTTCTTTGTTTACGAATTAGCAGATAATCCTGACGCTCAGGAAAAACTTCGAGAGGAAATAAATGAAGCAGTAGAAAAAAATAATAATGAATTTAACTACGAAATTATTCATGAAATGAAATATCTTGATGCTTGTTTAAGCGGTGAGTATTGGTTAAGCCATAATTACAAACAGATAAAAAATTAATTATTAAGTAGTTTCAATGTATTAGTATTGAGTCTTATATTTTAACGAATTCTACGTGTTTAATGATATAAAAGAAACTAAAATACTTTGAAAGTAAACATATACACACAGAAAAGAAGATAAAAGTGATAGTTTACAAATAAGTTCACCAGTACTAGAAGAAAAATCGACTGAATCTATTAATTCTATTAAAAACAGATGACACTCCTATTATTTTCCTTAAAGACTTACCTAAAAATGGAACTTTCTACTAACTAAAAATATGTAACATAATATAGCTTGAAGCAGTATTTTCAAATACTTCGAATAATGTTTACACAATACACATTCTTAAACCTGGTAAACCCTGTTCCAGGCACAAACTCCTACTTTCCAGTATCGTTATGGTGTGCGTGTGTAATGAGCAAAGTACTCGAATAATTAATCAACCAATGCCTTATTTAGTTACTCGAGCAAAAATCTGTTCTTTCTGACAAATAAAGTGGATTTCGAACATATAAGTCAACTGTAGACAACTTAGGTGACCTCGAGTCTGAAATACATGAAGCGCTAGCAAATAGTCAAAGCTGCATAGCGGTATTTTTTGGTATAATCAGAGCATTTGATACAGTTTGGCGCCATGGAATAGCTGAAACTCTACAGAAATTAGGTATACAAGGAAATATGCTAAACTTCATCAATAGCTTTTTAAAAAACCGAAGCTTCCATGTAAAAGTAGATGATGTAGATGATTTAATTTCTAAAACAAGAATACAGAAAAATGGTACCCCTCAAGGATTATCGATTAATGTTACTCTTTTTCTTATTGCTATTAAGAGTATTACGGAAAATGATACTCCAACAGTAAAAAGTAGGCTATACGCAGATAATCTCATAATTTATTTTAAAGGAAGAAACATAGAACTAATTAAACAAACCTTACAAGATACTATTTCTGCATTAGAAAAATGGTCAATACAATCGGGAATGAAATGTTGTTCCAACAAAAATAAATGTATCCATTTCACCAGAAAACGTTATGTTAGTAATCCAGAACCTACAATCTTTAGTACAAAAATAGAATATGTTGATTGTATCAAATTCCTTGGAATTTATTGTGACAGACATTTAAATTTTAAGTAACATTTATCATCTGAAAACATCTTGTCAACAATATTTGAACATAATAAAAGTTTTATCTACTAAAATTGGGGATGTGATCAAGATATTTTATTGACAGTATATAAAGCATTATTAGATCTATAGTCGATTACGGTTCAATAGTGTATGGGTCTACCAGTCAATCGCTGTTAAAAGAGTTGCAAACAATCCAAAATTCTGCTGTAAGAATAGCTTTAGCAGCTTTTTGTACTACATCTGCAGATAGCTTTCTATGTTTAGTAGGAGAAATGGCTATGAAATTTAAAAGACAATATCTAAGTCTAGCATTATATGCTGCAAACGTTTTAGAAAATAGTGAAAATCCCGTCTGAAACAATGTATTTACTTCTCGTTTCGACACAACATATCTTAACAAAACAAGATCTAATTATTTCCCCCTTTTTATGAAAGACTTAATAGATACATGACCAGTAATAATATTGTATATATATATATATATATATATATATATACATATATATATATATATATATATATATATATATATATATATATATATAATTGATGGATTGATGTAACAATAAAACACTGAAAACTTTGTTTTCAAACTTCCACAAAATTTATTTTAACTATTATCACTATCAGCCGAAACAGCTGTAGTGATAATAGTTAAAATAAATTTTGTGGAAGTTTGAAAACAAAGTTTTCAGTGTTTTATTGTTACATATATATATAATATATATATATATATATATATATAATTCGGTTTTATAACGTCTTACGACGTTGTCCGACTCCCAAACGCCAGTGTATTCTGTCTTGAGTTAGGTCTTCGTCCAGATTTCGAGCGCTAATCGCTTTCCTAGCTCCTAGGTTCCAGCTCTGTGGTGGTATTCCTCGTTTCCTCTTCTCTGTGGGTTGCCACATCATCGTTTTTTAGGCAATCTTTCGTCCCCCATGTGGCTCACATGCCCATACCATATGAGCTGTTTTCTCTCAATATCCTCAACTATAGTGCCCTCTATATCTATTTGTTGTTTTATCACTTCATTCCGTATTCTGTCGGCTCTTGATATTCTCATCGATCTTCTGATGGCATCCATTTCCGTGGCTTCGACTTTTTTCTTATATTTCTCGGTTATTCTCCATGTCTCAGCTCCATAAAGTAGGCTAGTTTGAACCATTGTCTCATAGATGTTCCATTTTCTTTTCTTTGATATTTCTTTACTCCATAGAACTTCGTTCAAATATGCTATAGCTCTTCGTGCTTGTACAATTCGATGTTCTATTTCTCCTTCGTCTTTTCCACTACAGTCGAAGATGACGCCTAATTATTTATATTCGTCACATGGATTTATTTTTTGATTGTCATCGATATTGAGTTGTTCTGCTTCAGCTCCAATTGAGAAGTATTTTGTCTTTTTCAAATTGATATTTAATCCCCATTTCTGGTATTCTTCAATTAGTTTTCTAAGCATGTATTCCATGTGGTCTTTGTCATTTGACATCACCACCTGAATATCTGCAAACTGTAAAGTATATATGTAATCCTGATCGTTCAATTGTATACCCATTCCTTTGGCTTTCCTTTTCCATTGTTTCAGAGCTGCAGAGATATAAATCTTAAATAGAGTCGGAGAGATACAACATCCTTGTCTGAGATCCTTAGTAACTGCAAATTTTTCAGCTAAGAGGTTTCCGAATTTCATTTGGGAGTTTGAACCATAATATAGATCTTTAAGAGCACTAACCAATGTTTGATGTATGTTTGATGTGCACAGGACTTCCCAGAGTTTATTTAGCGGGACTGTATCATATACCTTCTCAAGATCTACAAAAGTCATATGTAACTCTCTATTTGTCACAATTTTCTTTTCTATAATTTGTTTAAGACAGAAGATGTTATCTGTACATGAACGACCTGCTCTAAATCCTCCTTGTTCTTCGTCTTCAGACGATTGATAATCTTCCTCTATCAGGTCCCGTGTATTCGACCGTATAGTCGACTCATTGAACTTGTGACCGATATCCCTCTATAGTTTTTACAATTTCTCCTGTCACCTTTTTTATATATTGAGGGTCATATATGCTGTTTTCCATTCATCTGGTGTTGGATGTCTGTTAAATAAGTAATAATATTGTATCCAGTAATAATATTGTCTTTCCTAAAATATACCAAACCACTTTTTCAACCGTTCCACCTTGGCTGGTCAGAAAACCCTTTCTAGACTTGAGTTTAACAAAGACTAGTAATCAACGTAATGCTTCCTCTATGGTTAAACCATTTTACAGTAAGATTGATGAGTACCAGAATTACCAACATATTTATACTGATGCCTCAAATCAAAAAAAGGAGTGGGATATGCCCTCATATACAATGACTACACTGCTTTATACAAAATCTCAAAATTTAAGCATAGTATATACAGGATAACTATTCACAATCTACAAAGCATTAGAATATGCATTGAACACCAAGTTAGACAGGTGTCTAATAATGACAGATTAGTTAAGTTTCATGAGTAGCTTTAGGCACCATTTACTTAACTCATCCATTATTGCGATTGATAAAGAACCATTTGTACCAACTTTAGCAAAAGAATGCGATTGTAAAATTTATGTGGATTTCGTCACATATAGGTATATATTGTAATGAAAGAGTACATGCTGCCACCGAATCTTCAGTTAACAACGAAGACTTGACAGAACCTACATATAAGAAAGATTTTCATCACTCGATTAACTCTACATTGAAAGAACGGTAGCTTTAAGAATGTAATCAATGTCAACAAAAATTAAGAGACATAAAAACAATAGTTACAAGATGGAACAATAAGTGTAGCAACAGGAAAGACCAAACTATAATAAACAGACTGAGATTAGGACACACGCTTAACACAAGAATACGATATTACTGGAAGTGTTCATCAAATGTGCGGTAAGTGTTTTAAAGTTTAAGTGTCCAACATTGCTTAATCGAATACCTGCATATTCAAATGAGAGGAGAAAGTTTACCCTACCGACAACGCTACGAGAGTGTCTAGAAGAACTGTGTCTATTTGTCAATTTTAAGTTTTCTAAAATCAATAGGCTTATACAATCAAATATAAACATTAGTGCATAATATAATAAATAACATAAAAAAAATTGAGGGTCAAATAACACACAATATAAAGTCTGAATAGTTTTAGCGTTTTAAAATGTTCAGGATATGTCCAAATTTGCGTGAGGATGGTCTTACATAGTAGATCCATAAAGTAACGTTCCTTGCTAATACTAAGATTTATAATAATCCGGCAACATTTGGCAACATTTGAAAAAACATATGCATGTTCAAGGGTACCGGACAACGTAACTAAATATAAGTAGAATTGACTTTGTAATGCGTTGTGTTAAAAAAAAGTACAATAGCTTCTCTCTTTCACACACGCAGTCATATATTGGTGTTAAATTCTTTAGAATAGCCCAAGAATAGCTATTATTGTGTAACATATCAAGATTTGACTCTTTTTTGCGATTAAAATCGATTCAACGTTTATGAATTTTGATAGCCTCTGTGATCCCTAGAAAATATTGTACTAATTACCTGTAACTACAAGAAAAAACTTACTGGCTGCCTTGTCTAATATTTGTTAGATATTCTGCAAATGTTGTATAAAAGGTTTAAAAAAAAATGTTGGTTTACTGCTTTCTAAACGTAACTAAGTGATGTCTGGCAATCGGAAAATAAGCATGTACTTGATTATATAATAATTAAAGTTTAACTTGAAATATTAAATTAAAAGCTATTTTATATTTATACATTTTTATTTGGTATGTTTCTAAAACATGTTAGTGGTATGTATGTTCCAGCGATAATCTTCAATACTATTATTTTAGAAAGTCTTCGAAAGAACTCAATAATCTATCATTTAGCTAAAGTTTGCACTGAAGATTATACATACACCTCTACCAATCCCAACTTTAAAAAAATGACGGTTCACCTGAAAGTTGGCGACTCAATAGCATTACCTTCAAGAGGTTTGCAAATGGATCCACAATATTTTGATGAGCCGGAAAAGTACATACCGGAAAGATTTTTGGACGGCAGCAGTATTAATAAATATGTATATTTCCCTTTCGGAGAAGGCCAACGAGTATGTCTAGGTAGGTATAAACCATTAAATCTGATTACATTGTTTCTAAATCTTATTCTCAGTTTGGGAGAACATGCAAATGAACAAGAAAAAATGAAACATTTTGATTCTATACTTTAAATGGAATTTTATAATTAATTTACGAGGTCTAAGCTTGGTTCAAATATTTCACTTTATTTTTTGACACAATATACTTAATTCATTTCAACAAAAAAGGAGTTGTATCTGAACTTGATTTTTTTTAAAGATCGTATTCTACAAATCGAATATTTTTTTACTTGAAAACTTCTATAACAAATTGTTGATCATAAAGTTATAGCAATTTTATAGATCAACATAAGAAACTCTTAACCCTGTGATTGTTGATTAAATCTGTGTTTATAAAAATTATTTTTTTTATTAACTCGATGGGAAACAGATGGAGATATGCAGTAAAATTAGTGTTGAATGGAGTATAACGAAATTTAGTTAAACATCCAGAAATCAGATTTAAGTAACCCAATTCAGTTTAATAATTTAAAATCCTATTATTAATATTTATCATTGTTTATTGCTCAATGCGATTGTTTGTTTATGCCATTGAAAATATCAGTGTAACTAGAACAAGCTTACCGAGACGTTGACCTAGTGAATTTTGCAATGTAATGAAAAGCTTATTTAATATTGTGTACAAATTATATTAGTAAAACATGAATGCATAAATAAACGCACGTGAGTTGAATACCTGGAAAATAACGGAAGTAGATTATTAAGAATTAAGAGTTAACAGTCAAAGCTAGTGTTGTCATTTGTCAACTCGGTAATCTCTCTATTATTGTACTTAGAGAACCAATAAAGTAAAAACTGTGCCCAGTGTTACACGGTATGGAAGTCTTGATGGAAGCAATCTAATAAATATTGTGGATTAAACGTAAGCCCAATAGCTTTTCAGGTTTATTTTCGGCATGGACTATATAGTAGTAATAGGAATATCAGAAACGCATGATTTACACAACTTAAAAAAGACATTTAAGACATGTCGAAAGTTGAACCTAAAACTTAACCCTCTTAAGAAAGGAAGTCACATATTTAGGACATCATCATTCTCAGGAAGGAATATCACCAAATATAGCAAAATACTCAAGGATTGAACACAACATAGCAGCGTAGCATTTATAACTACTATTGACGTTTTCTTCAAAATTTTTCTGAAATATGCATACCACTAAAGAGATTATCGAGAAAGGGAGTAGAATTTATTTTTTTGGTAAAAGGAATGTAAAGAATTCAAACAATTAATTTTGACAACAGGCGCATCCAACGAAAGTTGTTCAGCAGTTTTAAGTCAAAACTACAACGGAATAGACCTACTGATAGCATACGCATCAAGAAGTTTTATTAAAGGAGAATGTAATAAACCTATAATCATCAAGGAATTACTAGCAATTTGTTGGGGAATTAACCATTTCAAATGTTATTTATATGGAGCACCAACATTTTTGGTAAAAACGGATCATAAACTCTTAACACACCTATGTTCCATGAAGGAACCTACCTCAAAACTTACGATAATTAGATTAGATCTAGAGGAATACGACTTTGAAATAGATATTATAGGGAAAAATAATTATGCGGACAGTCATTTGAGAATAACATTGCATCAACCAAAGAACTTATACATAGATAACATGTATATACTAGCTATTACCCGAGCTCAATCAAGAAGAAAAATGGAAAAAAGTAAACCTACATTACAGCCGGAAGTCCACAAGTAAAAAGGGTATTAAATAATTTAGAGGCGCATAGACTACCAGTTTTGTTTTTTGGAGTAGACCGAATTTCACCAAGACTGAGTATTTTCATCAAAAAGAAAATCAAGTCCTGAAACAGCATGGTCACAGGATTCAACTACTTTGATTTAAGTCAAATGTTGGCACGGCTTGATTGGCTGGCGGTAGAAAATGCAGTACGTAAAGTAAATGTAAATATACGTAAATGATATTATTTTTAAATTGTACAAAATTTATAAATTTATTAAAGAAGGAAACAAACTATTAAAAAATAAAGAAATATATATGCGAAATACCGGAAACAGATGACGACAAAAAAAAAACGTAGGATAATGGAGGAATATCATAACCACCCGATGTTTGAGGGTCATGTAGGAACTAATAGGCTAATAAAGAAACTAAAGCAAGATTCAAATGGAGAAACACGGAAAAAGACGTTAGAAAGTACATTAATCAATGTCACAAATTAACCAACCGACTACATGTCGAGGAATTCGTGATATCGGACACTTATTCAAAATCATGTGATATAGTGTACATAGACACGATAGGTCCATTCCCTGGAAGTAATGAAGGCAATATATACTGCATAACAATGCTGTGTGAGCTGACGAAATACGCAATAATTATACCAGTGTGCAACAAAGAAGCCGAGACAATAGCTCGCGGAATTTTTAATCATTTTATACCAACATACGGACTTATGAAACAAATCAGAACAAATCAAGGCATATAGTACAAAAATGAAGTAATGCACGAACTAACATAAATGCTAAAGATAGAGCATAACCTCTTAACGGCGTACCACCCACAATTGATTAAAAGTTATGAGAAACTACATAGAACATTAAACGAGTACGTGAGATCATTCATAATATAGTCAGAGAAAATTGGGACGTGTGTTGCAGAATGTTCACATACGGCTACAACACAACCCCTAACGCGTTTCATGGATATACACTATTCGAATTGCTGTATGGCAGGAAAATAAACGTAATGTGAAATTTGTAATGTAATCAAAAGCATATTTAATATTGTGTACAAATTATATTAGTAAAACATGAATGCATAAACAAACAAACGTGAGTTAAATGCCTGGAAAAGCATGGAAGTAGCTCAATAAGAATTCAGAGTTAACAGTCGAAGCTAGTGTTGTCATTCGTCAACTGTGCACTCTCTTTATTTTTGTACTTAGAGAACCAATAAAGTAATTATGAGTATTCAGTGAGTTTGAGTTAATCACCCATGCGGGGGTAAACTACCCCTAGAGTTCCACAATATGGAACTCCTGATGGAAGCAATATTATAAACATTATATTATTATCCAACATTATTATAAGATCAAGTAGAAGAAAGCTAGTGGTGCGTTGAGTGACAGAAAATTTCCAGTGAAGCTGAAAAAAAAATTCTATAAAATTTTAGCCATTAGACTACTCTACGGAACTGAATTTTGAGCAGTTAAAAATGGGAAAAAAACAACGAATGCATATGGCGGAAATAAGAATGCTTAAATGGATGTGTCTAGTAACAAAAAGCGATAAAAAAAGAATTAGAATTATTATCAAAAGAGAAGTCTAGAGGCAGCAGCAATTATTGCTAAAATAAGAAAGCATATGTTAAGATTGTTTGGGCATACTCAATGTCAAGACGTTAATTACCCAATATGAAGAACTGCTGATTTGCGGCTTGCAATTGATGAATATAACCAAAGATAGAAAATTATGAACAAATGTAATTAATTGATAGGTTCGACCGTTACTTGATGGAAATTCATTTTATGTAACAATAAAACACTGAAAACTTTGTTTTCAAACTTCTACAAAATTTATTTTAAATATTATCACTACACCTGTTTCGGCTGATTGCCTTTCTCAAGTGATCTATTTTGTCTTGGGTTTACAAATTTATAGTCTCTAATGAAATAGGTTGAGGAGGGTAGAACTGTTTGTTTCAAGTTGGTCATTCAGAATTATATCTGTGTTTTTTTATTTGTTGATTTCCATAGATTCTAACAAAGATAGCTTAAGGCCTTTATTTTGAATGTGAAGAATTTTAAATTTGTCATTAAAAGAATGATTATGATCTAGAAGGTGAAGTGCGTATGTCGAATCTGTTTTTTTATTCTTGAAAGCCCTTTATGTTCTGCTATTCGTTTATCAAAGTTTCTACCAGTTTGACCGATGTAAGTTTTTGTGCAGTCGCCACATTGAAGTTTGTACACACCACTATTTAAGTGTTTTTTATTTTGGCTCTTGTTATTTTTAATAAAAACACATAAAAAAGAAAGGAATAACACCAGCTTTCCGAACAAATAACAACCTAGGCAAATATATTAAAAATAACAAGAGCCAAAATAAAAAACACTTAAATAGTGGTGTGTACAAACTTCAATGTGGCGACTGCCCAAAAACTTACATCGGTCAAACTGATAGAAACTTTAATAAACGAATAGCAGAATATAAAAGGGCTTTCAATAATAGAAAAACATATTCGACATAATCACTTCACCTTCTAGATCATAATCATTCTTTTAATGACAAATTTAAAATTTTTCACATTCAAAATAAAGGCCTTAAGCTATCTTTGTTAGAATCTATGAAAATGAACAAATAAAAAACACAGATTTAATTCTGAATGACCAACTTGAGACAAACAGTTCTCCCCTCCTTAACCTATTTCATTAGAGACTATAAATTTGTAAACTCAAGCCAAAAATAGATCACTTGAGAAAGGCAATCAGCCGAAACAGCTGTAGTGATAATATTTAAAATAAATTTTGTGGAAGTTTGAAAACAAAGTTTTCAGTGTTTTATTGTTACATAAAATGTAATTAAGAAAATTTTGGCAAAAGTAGGACCAGTATATAATCTACGTGGTCTACCTACACTCATTACTTTTGGTAAGAGGTTTAATTCTAATATCATCTGGCGTTATTGAAAGCTTCTTGTAAAGAAGTTTTTTTATAAAGCCTTTCTTTAGAAAATCAAAGTTTGGCAGTTTTGGTGAGCGCAGTATAAACACAATTGATCGTACCCTGCCTATCCATCTCACAGCAAAGATATTATTAAGATGGTTGAAAATAACAGCAGTATGATGAACTGTAGCACCGTCGTGTGTAAATCACATTATTTGTCAAATATTATGTGAAACGTTTTGCAGTAGTAATGATTATTCAGAAAATACAAATATCTAGCTCCATTTATAGGTCCGTCAAAAAAATGTAGACCAATCTCATAGTTTAACCCCCCCCCCCCAAACATTTATAGACCAATTGGCTTAACTATAACTGTTAATAAAGTTGGGATGGGATTACTTCACGCATAGTGATGAAAATTATGCTGATGCGCTGTTCCATTTTTATGAAATGTAGCTTCATCTCCAAAAACCAAATAATCGAGAAAAAAAATCGGTCGCTATGCACTTGCTGCTAAGACAATAATTGATGTTATCGCGATGATCTGCCAATTCTACTATACCAATTGTCATGAATGGATTTTATTACAAAAAGAATTTTGATTAAAAAACAACATATGGATTATTGGTATTGAGTTGACAAATTGAAAATACCTAAACAATTTTTAGAAAAATTGGGTACTTTATAAGTCATTTTGAAAAACAAAATGTATATTTTTCAAAATTTCAAAAAATTCTCTGAGTAAGGAGTAAAGCTTATAACTGATTTATTAGTTTCTGTGTTTAACAAGATTGCGACTCCATACCGATAAGCCGGATCGTTGTTTCCAGCATAACACATCATGCTGTTTTTGGTTATAAGTTGGCCGGTGTCTGGCCATTGTACGTCACTTATGCCCAGTATAGTTGTTATTTTTATTGTAGTCATTTCTTGTATTAAATTATCTAATTTTCCTGTCTGGTACAAGCTTCTCACATTCCATGTTGCAAGCCTTATTGGTCTACATTGTGTACTCTTAGACGTGGAATTTTATTATCTAAACGAGGATTTTGCTTGTTATTGACCTGAGAGGCCTAGTTTTTTACATGATCCTCTCCTTCCCTGTCGGATCTTGGTTTACGGATTCCTTGATCAGTAACGATTTGACTTTTTTGCAAATTTACCATGGATAAATGACTAGGAATGTTCTGCTGCACCTCTAATGCAGTGGTTTCCCCTTTCCTTCTGCATTTTTCTGCCGTTGACCAATTTTTTGATTCTTCTGACTTTGAAGTCGATTCCTCGGCTCCAGGACAAAAGATTGCCCCACTACCTACCGACTCATTTGCCCTAAGCCGTTGGTCGATAAGCAGGGGATTGCTTATACCGCCAATCACTCGGTCCCTATCTGCGTTAGCTATCAACATTGATGTTGCCCACCTGCTACTACGTGGAGGTGCAGATTTTTCCATCATCAAGATTAAGACTTTTCGGCATTTCCTAATCTCACCAAAGCTTTAAAAAGTAAAGGGTAAGAGAACCCTAAATCCAAATTTTCAAGCAAATCCGTCTTAACGAAGAGAGTTACTCTCCAAACCGGTCATTTACTGAAGTACATCGTACTTCTTTTACAGACCATAATCTCATTCTGACGGCTATCATATTTTACCGTTTAATTTTTTTCATTTTATTTGTATAATAATTGTTATTGTAATAACATTATTTTTTTATTTGTATCAGTCCACGTTAAATTTTTATTCTTTTTAGGTCAACGATTTGCACTAACACAAATAAAAGTTGGAGTAGCACATCTAATCAAGAACTTTAAGCTTTCCGTGAACTCTAAAACACAACGGCCTTTACAATACGATCCTGTATTTTTTATGCTACATGCAATTGGTGGTTTGTGGCTAGATTTTAAAAAAATATAACAAATTAAATTTAAATGTTGCTTTTTTGCTTGTATGATTTTTTTTAATAAATATATACAATGTTTACTAACACTGGTTATTTCTTTACTTTATTACTTATTATTAATTATTATTCTATATATATATATATATATATATATATATATATATATATATATATATATAGATTGTAAAAACTACGACCGTCAATTTATATTAATAAAGTATTCAACTAGTGAATTCAGAAGTTTATTCGGTCATTCAGGTTGGCAAAATAAAAAACAGAAGTCAACTACTTCATAAGTTTATAGAAGACGTTTCGCTTTCGCTTATTTGTAAGTAATAAATTATTAGATCTGTATTTCTTATAAACTTTATGTCATCTTTGTATTTTAGAGAACTGATGAAGCTTTAGAAGTATAAGTTGACTTCTGTTTTTTATTTTGCCAACCTGAATGACCGAATAAACCTCTGAATTCACTATGGTCTGTTTTTAAACCAGGAGGAGTAATTCAAATTTTCCGCGCCATAATGCTTATTTGTAATTGGTCCAAGCGCAGGCAAGTTTACTCCACTAAATTATAACATATTGACACTAATGACATTTGTGAAATTTTAAAATTCAAAATTTATATCGACAATTTTTTGTATTTTCTGTGTTATTTCTTACATATTTAGATTTTTCGTTTGCATTTAAAATAACAAAATAGATTCAAAGCCAAGTACTAGTGGTAATTATTCTTCTTCACCTTAAAAACGCCGAGTAGATTTGGGTCATTTATCATCAAATGAGAAATATTGTAATATAAACATGTACAAACACGAAAATTGATAATTGTGGAATAAAAATAACAGCCACGGTAGTAAAAATAAAATAGGCAGCAGGTTAGTTTTACAGAATAGTTATTATTAAAATCAATACTTACTAAAGTAATGCGCTAATTTTAGGTGTTTCGAATTCAACTATTTACCGAACAATTAAAGAATATAAGCAGACTGGAACAATGAAATGTCCTAAAAATATTGAAGGTCGAGCTTATATTCTTGCAACATAGAATGAAAAAGTTAAAACATCTATCCGACAGATAGTACACAGCTTCTTTTTCAAGAATGACATGATCACTTTAGGTAAAATTTTAAGTGAAATAAACAACCGCTCAGATCTTCCAAAATATGTGTCGTCCATTATTATATAAATTCTTGAAGCAAATCAATTTGAAGTAAGTACAAATATCGGTATGTAAATATGGGTTAGCTAAAATTATATAGCAAAATTAACTAAAACATTTTATAGATTTCATTTTTATAATCAGGTATATTATTGTTACTATTAAATAGTTTTTGTAATTAAAATTTATGTGCTACATAAGAAGTGATTGTAATAGTACCCTTCTTGTTGTATCAAAATATTTTTCCTATTTATGGACATAAGTATAACACCCTTTGTGTTACATGTTTTTGGAAACATACCAGTGTACAAATATTTTCATTATCATGTATCATGTACGGTCCGTCCCAAACCCTTTTTTCAGTGCGTCATAGTTGTTCGAATTCTCTCTAACGCATTAAGCTAGAAGTGACAGAAAAAAACGTGAGTCGCTTATTATTATACATAGAAATTAGAAAATTAGGTATCGTTTACGGGTATTCGCATATTAAAGCGAATTCTACTTACGAACGTATAATTGGTTGGAGTTTAGAATATGCTAAATAGATATCCAATCAATTATGCATATAAATATAATTTGACACACATGATCTTGATAATGACAGTGACAGTACTTTCACAACAACTGATAAAATGATAATTGCCATTCCAGGTTGGTATTTTCAGACATTTTAACTACAGTGAAAATTAAATTCTGTATTTATTGTCATAAAAATATTTTAAATATTCCGAGATATACCGAGAATGAAAAAAGACTAATATTACAATTATTAAATTAGTTTCAATTAGAAAATGAGGCTGAGTTATCTTTATTTCAGTTTCTGTCGCTCGCGAATCAGATTGTGAATTCCGGAATGATATTGAGGAAATATCTTAAACTAATACCTTTATGGATATTTATATGTATTAAAACGGTTCTTTTTAGAACCACGACATTTTCTTGAAATGTAGGATATAATTGATACCAGCCACATATCTAGTGTAATCATTGATTTTCAAGAATCAGATTCTGAATGGGATTATAGATTGTTTAAAATATAATATTCATTTTTGTTATTCATAAAAAAGAAGGTAAACTTACATTCTGTATCTTGTTTTTTAACTAAACTCCATTAACACGATTTCATCTGGATATCGGAACTGGTAGATTAACTCAAGAATCAACTGCTTCACTATTTAAACTATTTATATTGTTTTTTTAACTAAACTTTATAACCTTCTTTCATTTGCACACCAAATCTGGTAGAATAACTCAAAAATCAACTGCTTCACTATTTAAACTATTTCCACTATTTAATGACAACTCTTCACAAAATTAAACTATTGGCTGCCACACAAACTTATCAGAAAATTCCTTATCCAAATATGACTGATTTAAATCGATATTATTTTATCGCAGGAATGTTTACTTTGATGCCTTGCAATTGTCAGTAATTTTTTTTACCTTGCAGTCAACTCTTAAAAGATTCTAGGAGGAAGCGTTATTTTAAATAAACAGACCTTCCAATTCCCTAGTGTTTGTAATAAATAATAATAAATCCATAAACAAATCTTAGCTAATTAAGCACTTTCCATGGAATGTATAAAATAGAACAGAATAGAATAGAATTATGACAAACTGCTATGCATTAAAAAAAATAACCTTTTCACGTTTAGCCGATTACGATCCTGCAACTGTCAGATTTAACTAAAATGTCATGCAATAATTCTCGACATTCTTAAAATCCTATATGACGTCAAAATTAGTGACGCACTGAAAAAAGGGTTTGGGACAAACCTTACTTACATTTCACTGTTCTCATTTAAAGATAATATACTTAGTATGTTTGATGATTAGTATACTAAGTAATGATCTCATAAAGTAAGTTATTAAAAAAAATTAATTTCAAGATTTTAATTGTATGCTCTACTGGAATGTTGTCAAGTATTTTGGTTCAACATATATAAGAACATGAAAAGGGAAGAAAAGGAAAAAAAGGATATTTTTACTTTACATATAAGCAGATTGATTGCAGCAAATATTACATAGCATAACTATAGATTGTTTATCTTACTGTTTATAGGATGATTGATTTATTGTCTATATTATGAATGTCTAACCATAGTTATTTTTTAGGGGAAATTATTCAAAGAATAGTTTATACATTGGGCTGCTGACCAAAAACAAAACTTTCTTGCTCAAATAACTGAAATAGATTCAGTTTTTGCTGAAAAAATAAATCAAGAAATTCAAAATGGTGTAGTTGTTCATGAATCTCAATAAACATAAATTTAGAGGATATTTTGGAAGACTAATAAAATTATTAAATTTTTATTTTTACATTCATCCCGAATATATATTATGCACAGAATATTATATAAATCGATTTCTGACTCTTTCAGTTGTTTTTGTAATAACTTGGACTTGGTGATATGCGAATAGTATTTAATGTAATTTTTTTCTAGCTGACGTTTATAATAAATATAGTTTACAGTGTTTATAAATTTATAAATGTATATTTATATTTAATTATTATAAGAAAAACGACAACTATCTTTTAAATTTAGTGTATACTTGTTAAGAAGCATTTTCATTTTGTTTTCCTCACAATAAAAGAACATTAGTAATGTTGTGTTTTACTTTGATTGTATTGATACAGTTGGATTTGTTCTTCCTGATTTGATCATCACAAGAAAACTGCAAAATTATACTAGAATGTAACATAATAGATTGAATTTGTTGATTATCTCACAGAAATCCAGTATTTTTTAGTAAATTTTATTTATTGATAACAAATGGAATAAACTCACTGTAAAACTTAAATAAGAATCCAGCATTAAAGAAATTCCAAGTACACACTTATTTATACAAATTTTACCATGCATAAGAAGTAGGACCACACCTATATTTGAACCATAATTCATTATGTAATATGAAACATGAAAAAGTCAATTCTAAAGCAGTGAATGGGAAGGAATATGTAAAACAAATTGGCTGAAGCAATTCAGGAGATTGGATTATTAAGCTTAAAAATAATGAATTAAAAATAATTAGTAAAGTCAAAGTTAATTCTTCTGGTAAGAAAAAAACCTAGATTCAAGAAATTAATCACACCAGAATAAGAATATGGTCTACGCAGTTAAAAAGAACAGTATTTCAGAAATCTTTGAACTCTCTCTAACTTTTTGATACATGCATTTGCATAGCTTTGTTGCATATAAGATCTATTTGCAAATTAAAAGACAAATTTCTGAGAAAAACCATACTTAGATCTGTAACATTATTGACTCTCTGGATCAAAATATTCTCTAAATTAAGTACCATCGACTCAAAAGATCTATAAAACTGGATCACCCGATATTTAAATATATATACATGGGACCAAATGTAAAAAACGTTCTTTTTTTATTGTAATGATTGTAATATATATTGGAAGTGAATTAAAAAATATATTATTTAAACATAAAGTTAGGTTAGAATTGACTTGTATGGTTGTCCGATTACTCGATTACCGCAAGGCCGAGATATACAACAAAAAAAGAAGATGTATTTGGTGACTTTTTTAGTAACTTTCTTGGGTGTAAATCTGTCTTTTTGGTTTACTCCTCCTGGTTAAAAAACAGAGTTTAGTTGAATATTTTATTATATATATATATATATATATATATATATATATATATATATATACAATGTGAGTAAGATTAAAATCTCACTGTAAATGAGGATATCGGTCAAGGAGAAATAAAAAATGAAAAAACTGTTTCAATCTTTTAATAGAAAACGTCTCGTGCAGTATTTCTGCACTTCTTCAGTTCTAATGATTGTGAAGTCATATATAGATGTCAAACAATGTCAAATGCATATGTTGCAATGTTATAAAATACATTAAATAAATACAATAAAAGATGGTAAAAAAATTTACATTCAAAATTTTATTTAAAAG